GTGTGTGCAGGAGCAGAGATCTGAGTGAAAATGTACACAAGGCATTAAACATGACAGAACAGATTAAGAGAGCTGTTAATTAAGCATACAGTATCTAGATTCCATTAATAAGGGTTTGAATACAAAAGTAAAGATGTTATGATGAACTTATACAAGACCTGGTTTGACCTCAGCTTGAGTATAGGAGTTGGGGGAAGTCATGTTGAGATGGTACTTTTGGAATACTGTGTGCAGTTCTGGTCACCCTGCTATAGGAAGGATATTATGAAATTGGAGAGAGTTCAGAAAAGATTTACAAGGGATTGGAGGATTTGAGTTATAAGGAGAGGCTGGATAGGCTGAGACTTTGTCACTGGAGCTTAGAAGGTTGAGGGTTGACCCTGTAGAGGTTTATAAAATCACGAGGGGCTTTCGTAAGGTAAAGTGCAAAGGTCTGTTCCTTAGCGCAGGGGAGTTCAAAACTAGACAGCATATTTTTAAGGTGAGAGGAGAAAGATTTTAAAGGGACCTGAAGGACAACTTTTCCACACAGAGGGTGGTTCGTATGCAGAATGAACTGCCAGAGGAAGCGGTAGATGCAGGTACAGTTACAACATTTAAAAGACGTTTGGACAGGTTCATGAATAGCAAAGGTTTGGAAGGGTATGGGCAAACGCAGATAACCGGGACTAGTTTACTTTGGGAAACTTGGTTGGCATGGATGAGTTGGACCAAAGGGTCTGTTTTCATGTTGTATGACTATGGATTATTGTGTGCATTTCTGGGCACCATACTAAATGAAGGAAGAGAATGAATTGAAGAGGGCTCAGAAAAGGTCATCGAGAATGTTCCAGGGAAGTGACACTTCAGTTATAAGGAAAGATTTAAAAAATTGGAACTATTTTCCTTGGAGAGGAGATTTGATCGAAGTGTCCAAAATCACAAGGAATCTGAACAGAATAGATGGGATAAACTATTCCTGTTCATAAAGGGATCGAGAAGCAGAAGATGTAGTTTTAAAGTGTTTTGCAAAAGAAGCAAACGAGATGCAAGAAATAACTTTTTTCACACAGCAAAGCTGGGGTCTGGGAATGCTCTGCCAGGAAGAGTGACACAGGCAGGTTCAACTGAATCTTTAAAGAGGGCATTGAAAAATTACTTAAATAGTAACAATGTGCAGGGTTAGATGGAAAAGGCACAAGATTGGCGCTAAATTTAAATGCTAAGGAAGCCAGAGCAGACATGAGGGGGCTGAATGGCCTCCTTCTGCACTGTAGCAATTCTGTGATTCTGACATTGCATTCTGGGACATTTCTTCTCACACTAGATCATAAGCCCATTCTATAATATTTTACGTCCTTCCCCCCCAGCTCTTAGTGACATCAACGGGATAATTTCTCCACTACTTCTAGTGTTCTAGTTGCAGCCACCTTAAGGATTGGTGAACTGTACACCATGACTCCGCACCTTTCCATGACAGAGCAGCCTTCTCTTCTTTGCCAGATTTGCTGCGCTTCCTTTCCCCTCTGTTACGGTGTGGTAATCTCCTCCATATCCACTCTTCACCACACCCCATTTTTGCCTTGCACTGTCATCTTTTGTCTTTTAATGCCCTTTAGGAAAGGAAATCTGCCATCCTTATCTGGTCTGGTTTATGTGTGCCAGACCCACAACAACATGACTGACTTTTAACTGCCCTCTGGGCAATTAAGAATGGGTTGATATTATAGGTGTATCCCCCAACAATACTTGGCCAGAGGGGCAAGATTTTCAGCATCAAATGATTTGCATTTGCAAATTCCTGTGGCAGGTCAATGACTGACACATAAATGCTACACTGCTCTGGGTGTGAACTCCAAACTAACTTAATAACATCTCATCCACAAAGTTGCTTCAATTTTAATTTTTGTTTAATAATCTGTCCACAAATCAAAACGCCTGTATTTAACTAAATAAGAACATCAAGCAATGAAAACTGATACACTGGATGCGATCATGGCCAAAGTTTGGTCAGCCACCCTACATGACACTTTGCCACATTTTCTAATTAGCATTTATGTCTAAATTTCAGCAAGTATGTGCTTGACAAACACACTGCCCAATTATATACCTTTAGTCAATAAATGCTGGCCTAGCAACATCCATATCCCTTGAAGGAATAAAAAAAAAGCTGGTCCACCACCATATCACAAAATTTCCTTTTTATTCTTTATCCCCTCCTTCCTTTCCCATTCTATAGTCATTTAAAAACTGTTCAATCACTAACAAATTCGAGGATATAACTGCATCAGAATCAACTTAAAGAAGATTCAACAATGATTTCTGGAAAGAAGAGGTGAACCGACAAGGAAACTTTTAAGGTCTGAGAGAAAATTTATTGCCAGCTGGTGTTCGTGTATCCTGGTCCTCAGTTTCCTCCCCATTTGTCCAACGGAATATTTATTGCACTCACTTATGCAATAAAAAGACACGACCAACATTCGCTTGTCTCGATACACACAGACAATGAGGGCCATCAGTTCAACTGGAACAAGCGAACAATGGACATGCAAGGGAATTTCTGGAAGCCTGGTTCTCAACACGGGACTCCATTGACAAACACATTGAAATAGATCCCGTATACAGATCGCTGCTAAAGAAACAGAACCAGAAGTGACGAGACCATCACACCAGAGGATCATATAAATTTGGAATGGAGCAGAACACCAACGTTTCGATTAGGGGTCACACTGATGAAGTTGCCTATAATGGTAACAAAGTGTCCGCACACCACGGAACAATTGGCTCGGCCAGCTAACGAACAACTGCAGCAACAAGGGAAGGTTGAACAAATTGGGTTTTTTGTGCTGCTGACTAGGGAGGGAAGGATCATGGCAGCAACAGCTCATTGATGCACTTGTTCTAAGTCACAGCCATCAAAGAACATTTCTCACTCACTATTGGGGATCATGTCAGAGGAGAGGGAGGAGGGAACTTAACAAAATGGAGAGGAGCAGAGAAAAGCCAAATGTCTCTGCGGTGTGGCAGAATGATCCTGCAAAAGTGAACAGTTTTGCTACATGAGAGCAGCACCTGATAGTGCATTATGAGGTCCAGCAAGATCATGGCGGTAAATAGCTCAACTGATTTTGAGCCTGCCGATTTTGTTTAAATCTATATACCTCTGATTTGAGAGAGTGGCAAAGCAGGCTGTCCTTGGGGTGAATGGGAGGTGGGGCTTAATAGCCAGCATGACAGAAAGTCACAGTTTTAACTGAGGAAAAGAACATCAAAGCCGGAGGCAAGGTTGTAGATGAGTAGACCACCGACTGGAAAAACATCTTGATGAATGGAGGACCAATGGATAGACAATTCAGCTTTAGCAAAATGCACTTCCAAGTGAATTGAGGAGGGTGGATACAGAAATATATAGGGATGAAAAGGGGAAAGAGAAGTGCGGGTGGTGATTAATAGAAGGAAGTAATCAGAAACAGTTTGTGGTTGAGGCAGCACCAGTACTGGCAAGGTCCAACATCCAGTCGTGAATATGAATGGGGAGTTTATACTGAGGGAGTGATTAAGGAAGGGTAGGAGGACTACAGTAGATGGAGCATGATGAATTGAGATCGTCTCTGGAACAAAATCCGGTTTGCGTCAACTGTCACAGCCCAGAACTTCAAAGACCACCAAAAGAATATTAAAATGTATATTTCTTTCCATTGATGAACTTTCTTTGTCCCAACTCCACCGCCCCACCCTATAACTTGTTCTATTTTTGCACGCTAATGTGTGCACACCACAGGATTTGAAATAGGTTTTACTTTGTTCGTAAGTTTTCACGTGAGTGAATTTTACAATAAAAGTAACTTCTTTTCCTTTTTTTAAACTCAAGAGATCTGTTCAGTTTATTTAATCATATAGCTTTATACATGGTCAAATATACACTGAATTAGGAAAAAAAAATCTTTTAAATATTAAAACACTGTTATAACCAACTTCAGGAGTGAAAAGGGGAATTTATTCGCCCTTCCAATTTGGCCACACACATGAAATCAAGGTTATTATCTACAATAAGCCCATGCATAGCGAGCACCTTGCTTATGTATAAACAAACAGCCTGGGAGAGATGCGGAGAAGAGTGGCAAGAGCTGATCCGCTGAAGAGAGTCCATAGGGTTGATGCTGGGGGCGAGGAGTTGGACAGAGGTGGATGATGGGCAGTTGGGGCTGCTGCACACAAGGGCGCGCTGATAAGTGTCTCAATGAACGCCTTTGGAGAATGTCAAGGGAAATGAGAAGGCTTATCTAAGAGCTAATCAAACTTGGGAAAGCAAAAGAATAGTAGGAAGCTGAAAGACCTGCAGAGTTGAACATGTTCAGTAGGGAGGAACAGCTGTAAATTGATCAAGGTTTGATTCAGACCTGACGGACGGAATTGTGTTGGAAGCAGGTAGGAAATGATGTCAGCAAATATCAGCTCCTCCAATACACAGCTTTTGAAAACGGTAAAGCAGCTGAGATGAACGCTCTGCAGTGCGCCATAGAGTCCTACAACTGAGGTGCCTATGCTTTTAGATCAGACAGCTGGACTGATCTTATGATGTAACTAGCAAGATGGCGGAGTCTAAAGGCAATGAAACACAACAACTTAACTATGGTTGTTCTAATCTTGAACACCAAGAGAACCACACCAACAAGCTCTACAGTGATATCATATAGTGAAGTCCAAAATGTAACACAAAGAAACCCTCAATCTGTTTGGAAGACTATTTTTCCCCCCTTGGTAGGACGTATTGTATGATATGCCTAATCTTGTCCCTTCCCTACACCAGCACCTCCCGCCATTGATAATGTTTTGGCAAATTAAGACTTCAGTAAAATCAGAGTTTTCACTTAATCTCAAAACTGGTTTGGACTAAACTTGCATGGAAAGCACAGTAAGACATTTGATGCCATTTACTTAAGGTCCAATCACCTGAGCTCTTTTCTCACTTTATCATGTCTCATTCCCCTAAAAAAAACATGTAAAGTTATAAGTTTCACCTTCAGATAGGATCCATAGTACTTTGTAACATATGGACTATCACACTGACTTAGGACAGTTATTTCCTGCTGAATATCTTCAATTTCATCTTCAGCTTCTTCAAGATCAATATTTTTTATGGCCACAATTTTCTGAGTCCGGTTGTCTATTCCTTTAAAAACTTCACCGAAGGAACCCTTTCCAATCTTCTCCAACTTTGTAAATAGTTCTTCTGGATCTGCTTTCAAATTCTAAAGAAAAGAAGTAAACAGAATGTTAGAAATGCAATTAAAATTGTGCTAAATGTCAAAGAAAAATGTGCATTGCTACAGGTCATTTATAATCATGGGGCATCCCAAATCATTTTACAATCAATAAAGCATTTTTAAACTGCTTCAATGTAGGATACACAGCAAGCTCCAGAAACTGTAACAACCAGATGCTCCACTTTTCAGGACGCTGTATTAGCATGGATTGTGCGCTCAGGTCTCAAGTCAAATCTACAAACCACAACCTCTGAGTCAGAGGCAAGAGCACAGCCTATTTACATAAATGTAGACCTAGAAAGACAGTTCCGAGGTCAACCATTTTCACCAACGCAAGGTTTAATATAGATGATATCATATACATGGGTTCCTCATCTTTTGATAACTTACTAGCATTGACAGGTTTTCATTTTTCAAAATTAAAAAGTTGTCCTTAAGAAATTTGCTTAAATCACAAATCAAGTTAAATTAAAAAAAACAAACTTTGGTAAGGGTTGAATAAACCCCAAAAGAACTGTGGATGCTGGAAATCCAAAACAAAAACAGAAATTGCTGGAAAACCTCAAGGTCTGGTAGGATCTGTAGACAGAAATCAGAGTTTAACATTTCGGATCCAGTGACGCTTCTTCAGAACTGACAGAACCCTAACTTTGCTAAGGATGAATGTTAGTACTAATTGGAGATTTATTGGTACAAGTTATTGTAAAAACTCCTTAAAAGGAAAAAATTTGGACAAGGACCAAAAACTTTGTAATCACACGATAGACAAAAGTAGCCTGCATAATAAGCACATTTCCTCACACTACCATACTTATGACATAGTACATTAGTGGTTGTAAATATCCAATTCAAATTGGATCGCGTTATGGAATGAAATGAATGTCAATTATACTGTGGCTCAGTGAGGAGCACTCAGGATCAGAAAGCTCTGGGCTCAAGTCTCAATGCAGAGGCATGAGCATAAAAGTTCAGTTCAGTATTGTGAAGCAAATGCACTGTCTGAGATGTCATCTTTCAAAACTACATTAAACCAAAGCCATGTCTGTTATCTCAAGTATATGTGAAAGATTCCATGGCACTATTCAAATAAAAGCAGGATGTTCTCTCTACGTCCTGGCCAATATTTATCCTTCAACCAACTACCTTTCGATATTCATGCTTAATCATGCGTCTTCCTTCATGTGAAATTGCTGTTGTGCATTATAGTCATTATTTTTGGCAACAAATTTAGACTGAGAGTCCGCCCAAAGCACTTCAATCAATAGTGACTAGGCAGCTATGTAAACTGGGTAGTTCCGTGAGCTAAAGAAAGCCCTGAGGATCCTTTATTGGATGATATTTGAGATGTGGAGCAATGAACACGGCAAGGATGGTTGAGGTTGAGGGTGGTGCTCCAGCAAAGCTTATATATAGTAATTCCAGCAGTGTTAAAATTTTTGAAAATTCAGAAAAAATATGGAACTGAGTTTTATTTGTCATACCGCTGTTTCATGCTCATGTGACATTGGCTCCATCCTTTCTACTGATGTCACCTGTTAACTATGGTTGGAGATGAGGAATTGTATTCTCGCTTTAAGAGAGACCCGATCTATCGTACAAGCTCTCTAAGGTCCGAGTGATTATTCCTGACCAAATACAGTTCTACTTACTGCTTTGACTTCTACTCGTGCCATAATCCTTCTTGTTAAGTAAGGACCGTATCTATTTTGTAGATATTCTAAGGTGGTGCATCAACTATTTCTATTCTTCGCCAACAATTTAGTTCGTTCAGAAATTTTGTTTAAAAAATAGCAAAGACATTTCAACTCGAATCTTGCAGAATCTGCAAGAATATTTAACTCATCTCCTTACAACATGTTCAACTCAATATGATTGTAATAGACTTAATATTTATAAAATCAAACTAGTTAGGCCCAAGATAATGGAGAATTGGTGGCAAGAAGCCACCTCAAACAATCCTTACACAGCACCACATATAGCCAGACGTGGCAAATACCAAATGGAGAGGGTGCAGAAAAGATTTACCGGGATTGGAGGGTTTGAGTAATAGGGAGAGACTGACTAGGCTGGGGATATTTCCCCTGGAGTGTAAGAGGCTGAGGGGTGATCTTGTAGAGGTTTATAAAACCATGAGGAGCATGGATAGGATGAAAAACCAAGGTCATTTTCCAAGGGTGAGGGAGTCCAAAACTAAAGGGCATAGGTTTAAGGTGACGGGGAAGGTTTAAAAAGGACCTGAGGGGCAACATTTTCATGCAAAGATGGTACACGTGTGGAATGAACTGCCAGAGGAAGTGGTGGAGATGAGTATAATTACAACATTTAAAAGGTATCTGGATGAGTATATGAATTGGAAGAGTTTAGAGGGATATGAGTCAAATGCTGGCAAATGGGACTTGGTCAAATTGGGAGATCTGGTCCGTACCAAGTTAAGCTGTAGGGTCATTTCCATGCTGTATGACTGTCTATACGTAGGAGCTTATTGTGCATAAAAACAGCTGCAGCATTTCTTAAATACAATAGTGATCACATTTAAAAAGAATTACATTGACTGCAAATCATTTTGGGACATCCTAAAGTTGCAAAAAGAGCCTTATAAATGCAAGCAGTCACTGATTAGAAATTGTGCACTTCATCTAATGCTCTATTAACCCTGATCAGACGCTCATTCTAGAGCAGCTACCTCTTCCTCTATGGTTCCCTAGTTGATTTCAAACCTTCAAAAATATGAGCTCATTCAGAACTGTTGCTACCCATACCTTTGCTTACATCAAGTCTGATCCACCCATCGTCCATGCACTTATTAACCTACACTGGCTCCAGATTGTAATGCAATCCAGAGTGCGAGAAACAAAATGCGAGAAACAAGAGTGCGATAAACAGAGGGACTGAAACAGCGTGCGAGAAACAGAGTGCGAAATACAGAAAGAGCCTGTTTCTGTTTCTCGCACTCTGGGCCATGGGATGCCTTGATTTTAAAATTTTCATTTTTGTTTTCCAATCCATCCATGGCCTCATAATTCCCTACCTCTGTAGACTCAACAACTCTACATTCCTCAAATTTCTGCACTCCTGCACATCACCAAATTTAACTGTTCCACCATTGGAGGTCACGAGGCCCCTGGCCCTGGAATTTACTCCAGTGATCTTCATCCTTGCCCCTCCTTCAAAACTCTGCTTAAAAGCAATGAATTTGTCCAAATTTTTGGCCATCTACACGAATATATCCTTACATGGCTCAGTGTCAAGTGTTACTTGACAACAATCCTATGAAGACCCTTTGGATATTTTACAATGTTAATGGCACTACACTAATTGTTGCTTGTGTCTGTACTTCAAATGCAGAGTGCAGAGGCAGTCTCTCCTGACAACATTGTCTAGCTCCCAATCACATATTTTTGTGTCTCAGTTGCAGTCATATAATTGACATATATAATGACACACTTAAATTAACAATTAATGGTTTGAAAAGAGACAGCTTTCAACTTGTGATATTGTGAACACTTTCCAAGACATTAGGCCAACGTTACCAACAAAACGTACAATTATTGGATGAGAGACAAGCTTGAAAATTGCATGATGGCAGAATTTTAGCAGATAGTTTGTTACGTTGGAAGCGATACTGTCACTTGCATTACTATAAAGTAGAAGTGGCATTTTAATTTATTCACCTGAACTGTAAAATACTCTGCAATACAATGATCATATCTGTACTTCTAAACATGGGCTGCATCTGGCTTGCTTTGAGCTACAACGATTGTGCTGGAACACATTAAAGCTGACTTTGAAGTAGGGTTTTTCTTACAACATGTTGATACCAATACACTAAACAGGTTTTATGACAATACTAGGCCCTTTCAGTTCTTTTTCAACATATTACGTAGCACTTATAAATCAGAAACAGCCCAGCTGGTCTGTGCCATTGTTTATGCTATACATCCTGCCCAATCCGTCTCATCCTAATGCTAATTAAGGTTCCTCTCAAATGCATCCAAGCCATTTGCCTCAACCACTATTGTCAGAGTAAGTTCCATATTTTAACCACTCTTTGTGTAAAGTTATTTCTACTAAATTTTCTACAGAATTTATTAATGACCATCGTTTGACTGTCTTACTGCTACGCTCAGTTCAGTGACATAGCATGGTAGAAGATCCTATTTTAATCCTACTTTAACACCCCATGAAATCACCAAATTACTACTGATCAGTTTTGCTTAGTAGCAGTCTAACAATAAGCATCACTACTCGGGTGTCAGTAGATAGATGGTAGAATAATCTTAAAGAAGAATTCTAATCACAACAAACTCAAATGTCCAAGAAGTTTTGAACGAACATAGACAGCGAGTTGGCAGAGATTTCAAGTGAAACAGCTATGCTGTAAATGGTTTTTTTAAAAAAAAAGGTCAGCTATATAAAGAAGTGTACAATGGTTACAGCAAATGTGGTGGCTACTTGGCTCAACATGGCTTTGCCAGCTGGCCACAATACCAATAATAAAAGCAAAATACTACAAATACTGAAAATCTTAAATTAAAAAATGGCTGGAGAAACTCAGTAGGTTTAGTAGCATCTTTGGAAAGAGAAACAAAGTTAACGTTGAGTCCAAAGAAAAAGAGGTGTACTGGATTCGAAACATTAACTCTGTTTTTCTCTCCACAGATGCTGCCAGACCTTTCTTCGTCCAACCAGCTGAGTTCTCCACCAATTCTAATTGACTCTAAAGTAAAACATAGAACTGCGTATGAAGGCCTGAAACCAAAACAGAAATTGCTGTAAAGAAACTCAGCAGGTCGGGCAGCATGTGGAGAGAAAGCAAAGTTAATACTTGGAGTTCAGTGGCAGTTCAGAACGCTGAAGGGTCATTGGGACTCCAGTGTTAACACTGCTTTCTCTCTACAAATCCTGCCAGATCTGCTGAATTTCTCCAGCAATTTCTGCTTTTGTTCTAAAGACTATAGTTTTGGCTTGACGCCAAACTCAGACAA